GCTCGCACGGTTCTCAGCATGGTTTTAAAAGGGTAGAGTAAATGCGGCAGATAATGTTTTGTTTCATCATACCATAATTGTCTTAGGTGCTTTTGAAATTGGGCTTCTAGGCATCTCTCTAGGATTCTTTCGATCTTCAGCTGCAGAACAAAATTTACAGACTACAGTTGCTCAATAACAAAAATATATAATAAAAGGTCTTCATTATTAATTAACCTTGGGAACAGTCTCTTTTTTATATTTGGATACACAAGTAAAATTACTTATATGTCCTTTAGACTACGAGTTCTTTATTAACCTTGTAGACATAAATTATCTTAATTTATCTGAAATCAATATAAAGATGAAACATGCTGGATCTAACCAGATGTCCCAACACATCTATACCCTGATTATGGTCGATAAAAGATTAAAAAGGGACCAGCCTGAAAGGGTGATAGCAACATAAACATTACAGCTCCATTTCTGTCATCCCTATATTTCCATCTTCCATCAATATGTTCCTCCGGGGTCTTGTGTTGCCACATCAATCAAGAGAACATTAACTTCCTTTTACACATTCGTCTTGCAACATAAATTAAACTTTGTTCCCAATTATTCACTGATGGCAGCTTGATGGCTCATGTACCCATACCTACATACTGTCAGCCTTTAAGGCATTTATCAAACAACAAAAGAATACAAACAACAAAAAAATCTAAACTCTACTGTTCAAAGAGCAGAAGAAAAAACAATCTGCAATCAGTATACAGCAAAAATGAGGAAAGCATTTTACAAACTGATAAAGGTTTGGTTTCACAGTTAGAACTTCCAAACCATACATCATTAATTGTTCTAAACTTTCTGATTAATAAAAAAATACAAATAATAATAGTAACATGCACTAAAGTAGTGCTGGCAGCTCATTCAATTCTTCGGAAGCTATATCAGATGGTATACAAAGCAGCAGAGCATGGAAATCTTTATGTTCCCATCGGAATGCTCTGAAAGACTATAGTCCCAGGCTTAGGGCAGGACTTTGCTTAAAGTCAGTTTAGTACCATTCCTGCAGTATCATAGTATCAGCTGCAATGTTTGTTCTATTTCGGTGCCACATCTTACATTTCATATCCTCATGTTTCATATCCTTTGCATCAGAACTATTTATCTTTGTCCTAACCTCTAGAGTACTTAAAATGTCGTCTGATTAAAAATAAGAGAAAGTAGCAATGGATGCTTCAATCTAAAGCATTGTCTGACTGCCTTTTGGTTCTAAATCATCTACATAGCCCCACTTACTATGCACACTATTTCCTTTGGCATATTTTCATCTTTTAAATATCATCTAACACCCATGTGGCACTGCTTCCCAGTGAAAGAGAAAGCATGAACAGTATTCACTGTGTTACAGAGCTGTCTCTTACCAGGGATGAAGCTCAGAGGTAACAGGAACACTTTGTTTCTGATTGTCCTTCCAGTAAATTAAAATGCAAAGGGGCAAAATGTCAAGAGAAAGCCACCCCTCTTGCTATTTGACCAGCACTTTTATTAGTAATTGTTTTTTTTGTTAGAGTGGAACATTTTGTAATGCTGTACGTGCTCTTACAACCATGAACAATGCCAGTAGACTGTAAATATTGAGTATATGCGTCAATCGGATAATGTCTCAATTCTTTTCTTCTAGTTTTGTTTTCTAATTTAATTTCACTTTGGATCTTATTCCAATACTAGAATTTGGGTATATGCATATTCAGATACTTTTTCTAATACCAGAGCTCTGTCTACTGTAATGTTTTATTAATGTTGAATTTTTAAGACTCTGTCATAAAGTCCTTTCTACAAGCAAGTAAGATATGTATGACTTTACATATGTATATTCCAAAAGGCAACTTGAGATTAGAAATCAGAAAATGAAGTAATTATATTAAATTATAAGTTTATTGCTTATTATTTATTAGTGTTGCACTGATACCAGTATCGGACGTGACCGTGATACTGCACTAAATGGTATCGGTATCGGCAAGTACCAACAAACTGGGCACAATACCATTTTGAGAGCCAAAATTTTATTCAACTATTGTCACCCATTTCAGGTAGGCAATAAAAAGTTCTACTGGATTCACTTTGTATTAGTCTTTTTCTTGCTTCACAAAGGTAGGCAGCAGCTTGACAAAGTCATGATAGCAATTATTTTACATCCAAGTAGTATGCAGTTCTTCATATATACACACATACATCAATTTCAAACAGATGGTATCGGTATACTGCACAGGTATCAGGTATCCGCATCGGAGCCAAAAAAAATGCCATTGGCCCAACACTGAATTATTTTAGTTCCTTACTAGCTACCACTTAGTGTTGTTGGTATTTTTCGTGGGGTCTATATGAGGAAAAAAATGCAACAATGGCATAGACTTTACAGAAATAAATAGAAATAGAAAATAGAAATAAGAAATCAAATCAGAAATGCAAAATGACACATTAGCCCATGAAAATCTTGCAATAATACAATATTAATCACTATATAGAAAATCCCTTTATTGTCCCACAATGGGGAAATTATATATCATTATAATTCAACATATTTTTTTATCACATATATAGATGTAAATTGCCACCACTGGACAGTAATACTCACTTTAGTCCCATTACCTTCACCAAAGAAGTTATGTTTTTAGGAGAATTTGTGTGTTTGTGTTTCTGTTTGTGTACAGAATAACTTGAAAAGTTATGGATGGATTGTAATTGAATTTTAAGTCAGAGGTGTCCCTTATGCAAAGGAACAATCCATTATATTGTTTGTGATTATCCAGATCATAATCTGGATACAGGATTTTGAAAAAAGATTGTTCAACATTGTGGGATTGGAATATTTGGTTTACAAGTAGTTTCCCACTAAACCAGAGAGTAGCAGCAGTGACTATTGACAGCCTCAGCATCAGAATCAGAAAGTCTGCAGGTAGTAATATATATATATATATATATATATATATATATATATATATATATATATATATATATATATATATATATATATATATATATATATATATATATATATATATATATATATATATATATATATATATATATATATATATATATATATATATATATATATATAAATAAAGTTCTAAGACTTGGTTAAATACACTTAAATATGATCGCATTCATTTAAAGTCAATGACCACCTGATCTTGATATATCAGGACTGATCTTTCCTCCAGTACTGGCACAGGGTCAGGGAAAGGCTACCCAACATCTCAACTCTGAATAAAAACTGTTTAAGGTTTTTCACCCTCAGGTTGGCACTTAAAAACACTTTTTACAAAATTACACAGGCATACACACAAATTTACAAAATAAGTCATTTTATTTTTTGTGCCTTAAATGTCTTCATTGACAAATTAGTGGAAATGAAGTCAGATTCCTTGTTTGTGCACAAATTTGGCCTTTAAAGCCAATTAACTTTGAGTTAAGAGAGAATAAATATTCCTCTTCCCACAAGTTAAAGATGCACATGTCATGCTAGCACACCAAGTAGTGGTTGTTTTCTGGTGGCTATAAATGTAAGTTTTGCTTTTTTTCTAAACATGCTACAATACTGACATTCCGAAATGGGGTCTTTTTGTTTTGGTTTAATTTCATTAAGATTGTCTGCAGTCTTGCTTCATTAATTTGGTTTGGCCTGCATTGATATATTTTTGCCTATTAATATGATTTTGTTATTTTTATTTCTGACTGTGAAATGTTTTCACACATGCATTTTTTCTCCCTATCCAGAGAAATATTTGCATGCAAGTTTGCACCTGCCTATGAAATGTGCTACTGTAAATATAAACACAAAAACTGCCCCAGCACTAAACAAGGTTTGATAAATTGCTGTGCTTGGGGTACGTTTTTGTTTTTTTTAACCTCTTCGCTCAGTATTTCATGTATTTTATTACTAATAATATGATCTGCATATTCATAGAGGCAAACATGCGAAAACGTTTGCATCTGCTGTTCTATGCACTTTGCACACACAATACAAACTGCACCTACTAAGCTTGGTGTATCCGAATAAATTTGCATGTGTTATGATGTACACAAACATTTTTAAGATCAGGCCATAAGTTAACTTGTTGTTCCTTAGGTAAAGGCATTAGAAGACAACAAAATTTGCAAGTTTAAAGATTTATACAAGTGTGTCATGGCCAAGATTGTACTTGGTAGATGACTGGATCAAAGTGTTTCTAAATTTACAGGCTTTGTAGGGTATTGTTTCCTGTCTGCAACAGTCAAAAGTACAAGAAGAAAATAAAAGAATGAACAGTTGTGAATTGTTAACAGGGTCATGCATAGGGCAATGTTCTGCTTGGAAACCTTGGGTGTTGCCATCTGTATTGATGTTCCTTTAACACGTTCTACCTACTCAACCATAGCTGCACACCATGTACACCCTTAATGGAAACCTTATGCTCTGATGGCTGTGGCCACTTTCCACATGACAATACTCTGCTGTAAATCAAAAATGGTTTAGGAAATGTTTGCTTAGCACAACATGTTTGAGGTTTTGGCCTGGCCTTCAAGATTCCCTGATCTCAGCCAAATTGAGCATCTTTTAGAGGTGCTGGACACATACGAATCTGATCCATAGGGCCCCTAATCCAATGTTCAGGATTTAAAGGATCTTTGGCTAAAACTTTGATGCAAAATAACACAGCCCCCCTTTAATAACCTAGGGGAATCCATGGCGTGATGAGTCAGAGTTGTATTTTGCATGGAAGGAGACATCAACATGCTAATAGTCAGGTGATGAAAATGTTTGGACTGATTAATGTAAATGCTTTGCAATACACCCAAAAAGTACTCTGTTAATGCATTAAATAAAAAAAAATACTTTCACGAAACAGCTAGCATCCCTCACCCTTAACATTTTGTAAGTTTTGTCACATGCATCTCTACACTTTCATGTCTTCTTTGTTACGCTGTACTTATATTATGAGCATTACTCTGGACAATTCCCCAGATCAACTTACCTCAAGCTGCTGGGCCTTAGGGCTTTTAGGGTCGCAGAGGGACGTGTTGATCCTATGGTTGTGTTTGACACAGCGTTGAGTTGTGTTTTGGGGCATTGGGAACATCTGGCGAACTAGAGTCAGACGGCCTATTGACTTCATGACTAACTCCTGTAAGTCATAGTCTGCGATCTCCTGTAGGGGCGTAAATAGAAAAAAAAATTCTTAGAACAATGTGGAGACAGGGTTAAAGTTCAGGAAAATGAGTGGGAAATACATGAAAACATTTTCCTATAACTGGTTTCACAAGGCATAGAAATATAAAGGAAAAAGGCTGGAAAGAAATGACATTGGTGTATATCTGTGTGAGCTCATGCAATTGTTATGACCATGCATGTTTGCACGTCCTCAATATGTCCTTGCAAAACCTTGAGGGAGGACTCATTGCTAATTTTAGCCATAGGCAACAGAGTCTCCCAACCAAGCTTCATTCATGGTTTCCCATCCATCCTCCGTGCAAGGGGGTCACATGATGACAAGATGAGAACTGACATTTATTGTCCCTGGTGGAGGTAACGCTGTCACCAACCGAGGCAGCCTTTGCTTTTTCTGTGTACATGTTTGATAATTCCTTGCCTCTGTGTCTGCTTGGGCATCCAGTGAGAGCTTGCTGGTTTGTGTAAAACTGAGTCCACATCAATTTTATGGGGTTGTTTTGCAACTGTTTGATCATGCAAAACATCTTTGAGACTCTTTCATTTCCACATGCCGCACTGTTGACGGGATGGATACTATGTACGAGTTATAACTGAGACTGCATATACATGAACAAGTTATCATAAACCCTTTATATGTGGAGCTACGGTATATCATTAAAGGAATCACACCTCGTTGACTAATCAGTGGATTTTAACTGAAGTAACTAACATTCAGTAGGACCTGTGAGTCATTGTAGTATGATCAATATTAATGAAAGTATTTTTTGCCAGCATTTTGCAACCAGTCTGATATGTAATAATTAGGCTCTTCTATAGTCTTTCCCAGCTATGATACACAATAGTTTCTTATACAAATGAAATGCTATAAATTATGTTACCTATATGAATTTTTAATAGCAAAACAGGTTTTTCTATAAAATATTCTTTAAATTTCTCTAAAAATTAGAAGGAATCAGAAATACCATTGATAAAAAAGGTTTAAAAAAGAGCTATGATTCAGCCTTGAGGAATCTATTTGTTGCTTTTTTGCTTGATATGTGGCAAAACTCCAAAACAGTTGTCTCTATAAATGTTCAGGAAGGAGTTTAGTAACAAAGCCATCAAAAAAAAGAAAACTAAAAGATTTAGAGCTGAGAGAGAAAATGCTTAACCCTTCTAAAAAGCCTGAATTGGAGGCCAAAAGAGAATTAAGATTCACTGCAGGCAGTCAAGGGCATTCAAAGAAAAATCTGCTGGCAAAAATGATCCCGACATCTTCACTCATGGATCTAAACTCAAAGAAATATAGACGCAGCACTGCAAAGGAATATTAAAGACCTGTGAATGTAAACAGAAACACTGGGAAACTAACATTTTTAATTTTGCCCACTAATCATTTATCTTCCACTGTCATGTTTTATTTTCGGTCTGCATTTCTCTGTGGACAGACTAAGCCGTCACCCCCCGGTATGATATCAGTGCCCTGATGTTAGCTCTTCAACAGCTAAGCTTAAATGAAAAGCACAGGACACAACCACAGACTCATTATAAGCAAGCATTATTTGTACCGAGTCAGCATCCAGCCTTACTCACTCTTTAGTACGCCTTACCTGTCCTATTTGATCTCTACCGTCAGCAGATTAATATTAAACAAAAATTTTTAAAGACATTAAAGTCTTGTTTAATATTCCTAAAATATACAAAATGGACACCCTCTTTTCATCCCCCCATCTGTCATCGTCTGCTTATCCAAGACAAGGTTGCAGGGATAACCCCAGACATTGTTCCTCTCAGGAACACACTGCCGCTCATTCTCAGGAATTCCCAGGGCCAGAAGGGATCAACGGTTTCTCTAGCAATTTCTGGCCACTTCTCCCTTTGGTGAGCACCAACAAAGCCAACAAATAGTGGATCCTAGGAGGCATCCTGATTAGATATTGTAGCCACTTCATCTAAATCTTTTTGACAATAATAGTAGTTCCTCTATGTCTAGTTACTTCCCTCTCCTGTTTCTAATCAAGGTTGGACTTGATTAGAATTTGAACATATCTATTCCTATTTTGAATCCTCATTTTGATTCTGTTTCCTATCAAATTATCTTTAATTGGGAAGGGTATTAAAACGTTTACATTTTAAATGAACAGGAGTTTGGCCTTGATTAAATACTTTGAACTTCTCAATGAAATTTAATTCCTTGAACATTTTTGTGTAAGCATTACTATAAATGATCAGAGTTATTTTCAACCAGTTTATCAATATCATACCTATGAAATCCAATATGAATCTCATAAAAAATTTTTTTATGTATATCAAGTGCCTGATGCTGCAGGTATCAATGCGGTGAATTTTATCATTAATTGTATTTTTTAAGTATAGTCGATTTTAAGCTCTACCTAATGTAGATTATATATAAAGTTATTAATTCATTTCTTATTTATAACAAGGAAATAATATGTATATATACACTATATTGCCAAAAGTATTTGCTCACCTGCCTTGACTCACATATGAGCTTAAGTGACATCCCGTTCCTAATCCATAGGGTTCAATATGACGTCGGTCCACCCTTTGCAGCTAGAACAGCTTCAACTCTTCTGGGAAGGCTGTCCACAAGGTTTAGGAGTGTGTTTATGGGAATTTTTGACCATTCTTCCAGAAGCGCATTTTTGAGGTCGCACACTGATGTTGGACGAGAAGGCCTGGCTCTCAGTCTCCGCTCTAATTCATCCCAAAGGTGTTCTATCGGGTTGAGGTCAGGACTCTGTGCAGGCCAGTCAAGTTCATCCACACCAGACTCTGTCATCCATGTCTTTATGGACCTTGCATTGTGCACTGGTACACAGTCATGTTGGAAGAGGAAGGGGCCAGCTCCAAACTGTTCCCACAAAGTTGGGAGCATGGAATTGTCCAAAATGTCTTGGTATGCTGAAGCATTCAGAGTTCCTTTCACTGGAACTAAGGGGCCAAGCCCAGCTCCTGAAAAACAACCCCACACCATAATCCCCCCTCCACCAAACTTTACACTTGGCACAATGCAGTCAGACAAGTACCGTTCTCCTGGCAACTGCCAAACCCAGACCCGTCCATCAGATTGCCAGATGGAGAAGCGCGATTCGTCACTCCAGAGAACGCGTCTCCACTGCTCTAGAGTCCAGTGGCGGCGTGCTTTACACCACCGCATCCGACGCTTTGCATTGCACTTGGTGATGTATGGCTTGGATGCAGCTGCTCGACCATGGAAACCCATTCCATGAAGCTCTCTGCGCACTGTTCTTGAGCTAATCTGAAGGCCACATGAAGTTTGGAGGTCTCTAGTGATTGACTCTGCAGAAAGTTGGCGACCTCTTCGCACTATGCGCTTCAGCATCCGCTGACCCCGCTCCGTCAGTTTACGTGGCCTACCACTTCGTGGCTGAGTTGCTGTCGTTCCCAAACACTTCCATTTTCTTATAATACAGCTGACAGTTGACTGTGGAATATTTAGGAGCGAGGAAATTTCACGACTGGATTTGTTGCACAGGTGGCATCCTATCACAGTTCCACGCTGGAATTCACTGAGCTCCTGAGAGCGACCCATTCTTTCACAAATGTTTGTAAAAACAGTCTGCATGCCTAGGTGCTTGAATTTATACACCTGTGGCCATGGAAGTGATTGGAACACCTGATTCCAATAATTTGGATGGGTGAGCAAATACTTTTGGCAATATAGTGTATATATATATATAAATATATATATATATATATATATATATATATATATATATATATATATATATATATATATATATATATATATATATATAGAGAGAGAGAGAGAGAGAGAGGGGGGGGGGTTGAGAATTTTCATTGAAGAAAATTAGTATTAGTAATTAGTAAAAAGGGTTGGCCTGTAAGATGTCAAATGTCTTAATGAAGTCTTCATTATACACTCACCGGCCACTTTATTAGGTACACCTGTCCAACTGCTCGTTAACACTTAATTTCTAAGCAGCCAATCACATGGCAGCAACTTAGTGCATTTAGGCATGTAGACATGGTCAAGACAATCTCCTGCAGTTCAAACCGAGCATCAGTATGGGGAAGAAAGGTGATTTGAGTGACTTTGAACGTGGCATGATTGTTGGTGCCAGAAGGGCTGGTCTGAGTATTTCAGAAACTGCTGATCTACTGGGATTTTCATGCACAACCATCTCTAGGGTTTACAGAGAATGCTCCGAAAAAGAAAAAAACATCCATTGAGCGGCAATTCTGTGGGCGGAAATGCCTTGTTGATGCCAGAGGTCAGAGGAGAATGGCCAGACTGGTTCGAGCTGATAGAAGGGCAACAGTGACTCAAATAACCACCCGTTACAACCAAGGTGGGCAGAAGAGCATCTCTGAACGCACAGTACGTCAAACTTTGAGGCAGATGGGCTACAGCAGCAGAAGACCACACCGGGTGCCTATCCTTTCAGCTAAGAACAGGAAACTGAGGCTACAATTTGCACAAGCTCTTCGAAATTGGACAATAGAAGATTGGAAAAACGTTGCCTGGTCTGATGAGTCTTGATTTCTGCTGCGACATTCGGATGGTAGGGTCAGAATTTGGCATCTACAACATGAAAGCCTGGATCCATCCTGCCTTGTATCAATGGTTCAGGCTGGTGGTGGTGGTGTCATGGTGTGGGGAATATTTTCTTGGCACTCTTTGGGCCCCTTGGTACCAATTGACCATCGTTGCAACGCCACAGCCTACCTGAGTATTGTTGCTGACCATGTCCATCCCTTTATGACCACAATGTACCCAACTTCTGATGGCTACTTTCAGCAGGATAATGCACCATGTCATAAAGCTGGAATAATCTCAGACTGGTTTCTTGAACATGACAATGAGTTCACTGTACTCAAATGGCCTCCACAGTCAACAGATCTCAATCCAATAGAGCATCTTTGGGATGTGGTGGAACGGGAGATTTGCATCATGGATGTGCAGCTGACAAATCTGCGGCAACTGTGTGA